GAAGCTCTCCTGCAGCCCCCCAATTGCCCCCTCTCCCCAGATGGCAGCCTGCGGCAAGTGCAGCCGGTCCGATGGCCGAGTGCTGTGATGTACCCAGTGTGGGTACTCTGGGCAATACAAGCCAGGACTGCTTTGCAAGCGACACACCCCTGAGAACTGTCTGTCTGGGGTGGGGGACGGAACCCTTTAAGCACAGCCCTCAGCTAGCCTGAGACAGCATCTCCACGCTCTAAGTTCTTCTCTGATGCCCTGCTGGCACTGCTTCCGGCCATCCTTAAGCCCGGTTCAGGGTCCACTTAATGTGGACATGCTAGTTCGAATTAGCAAAACGCTAATTCGAACTAGTTTTTTAGTCTGGATCTGTTAGTTCGAATTAGTTTAGTTCGAATTAACGTTGTAGTGTAGACATACCCTTACACACTGCTAAATGGGTGCAACTTGCACAGTAAGGGTGTGTCTAAACTACATGCCTCTGTCGTCAGAGGCATATAGATTAGACACATAGGCAAAGGCAAATGAAGCCACGATTTAAATGATCGCGGCTTCATTTAAATGTACATGGCTGCCGCGTTGAGCCAACAAACAATCTTTTGATAAAGCCTCAGTCGACAAAAGCCTGTAGTCTAGACGTACCCTTATAGATAAATGAAGGAATAGACTTTGTAAGGGTATGTTCCACGAGGCATACAGATAGTTCGGAATGGCTTTCTAGTTCGAACTATCTAGCCCGTGCTGCGTGTAGCCGCGCGGCACGGGGTTCGAACAAGCCGGCATTTAAAAATGGCGCCAGCCGGCTTATGCAAATGAAGCCCGGGAAATTCAAATCTCGGGCTTCATTTGCACGTTCGGTATGCATACATTACCCCGCTAGTTCGAACTAGCGGGGTAGTGTAGACATACCCCATGCCTCTGACAACAGAGGCATGTAGTCTAGACACACCCTAAGTGGCTGATTGTTCACCACCTTAAACCTCATGTAGCTATTTCCATGACAACCCAAGGCACTTGGGGGAAGCTGTTCTTGATTTGATTTTAACAAATAGGGAGGAACCGGTTGAAAATTTGAAAGTGGAAGGCAGCTTGGGTGAAAGGGATTGTTAAATTATAGAGTTCGTGATTCTAAGGAATGGTAGAAGGGAGACCAGCAAAATAGAGACAATGGATTTCAGGAGGGCAGATTTTAGTAAACTCAGAGAGCTTGTAGGTAAGGTCCCATGGAATGTAAGGAAGCAAGACTAAGAGGAAAGACAACTGAAGAAAGTTGGCAGTTTTCTATAGTTTAACTATTCCACTGCAGAGGTGTAATGGACAGGAGAAGTGCTGACCAGAACCCAGTGACTAAGGGGTTAACTCATGTAGCTAGCAAAGGTGACTAAGGAGTTAACTCATATAGCCAGGAGGCCAGTAGAACCAATTGATATAGAGTGTTGAAATTTGAATTGGATATAGGTTCCCTGCCATCTTTCTTTGTGTGGGAGAGAGAGACCAGGAATTGAGAGAGACAGAATGATTTAAACTCAGGCAGGACTACCATGTCTCCAAACAATTTCAGGCATGGGAGTGGACTGAACAAAGAGAAAATTAGAAGTAAGTAAAAAGGGAAAAGTGAATCCAGTCACATTCAGGGTAATTTTTCTTTATTTTGTGGTTTGGTCTCAACTGCTCTGTGTGATTCTATGCCTTCCCTCCCCAATTACATCTAAACATTATTCCTAGAGATTTTCTTTGTTTTTTAATTTATTTTCCCTTGTTGCTCCGTGACACCTAGCAAACAAGTATGCTTTAGCAAGTTTATTTTTTGTTTTGTAATAAAAATCACTTTTTTCGAGGTGATGATTTGATTCTTGTGTCCTGGAAGGTCTGTGTGTGTGTATCTGCATGACTTTGACTGAGGGGTCAGCTACTAACGACTGCAGCTTGTTTTTCTCTTTTCTTTTTTAAAGCTCTTTTAGGGCAAAACTGCCAACTTTCTTCAGTTGTCTTTTTTTTATCCCTAAAAACCACGAGTGAACATTTGAAATCATCCCCAGCAGCATCCCCAAGCTCTTTTAGGGCAAAAGAGCTTGGGGACGCTGCTGGGGATGATTTCAAAGGTTCACTCCTGGTTTTTAGGGATAAAAAGCACTTGCTGATGGCAGCAATACTCCAAAATCTGTGTATTATGATTCTGGGGAGAAGTTTTTTGTAACCACAGTCTGTAGAGGCAAGGTTTTGAAGCTCTCTTGCGGGCACTCACCTTCTGCACTTGGCGTGGCGGAGTGGGGAACAGCCCTAACAGGAGCAAAGATAGAATGATCCAGGAGGCCACCTTGGATCAACCTGGAGATCTTACATGATCTAAAAATCAAAAAGCAGTCATATAAAAAGTGGAAGCTATGTCAAATTACAAAGGATGAATATAAGCAAATAATACAGGTATGTAGGGGCATGATTAGAAAGGCAAAGGCACAAAACAAGCTAAACCTAGCTGGAGATATAAAGGGTAACAAGAAGACAGTCTACAAATATATTAGAAGCAAAAGGAAGACCAAGGACAGAATAGTCTCATTGCTCAGTGAAGAGGGAGAAACAATACCAGGAAACTTGGAAATGGTGGAGGTGCTTAATGACTTCTTTGTTTTGGTTTTCATCAAGAAGTTTTATGGTGACCGGATGCCTTACATAGTGAATGCTAGTGGGAAGGGGATAGATTTAGAAGTTAAAATAGAAAAGAACATCTTAAAATGTCTTAGAAAAGTTAGATGTCTCCAAGTCACCAGAGCCTGATGAAATGCAACCTAGAATACTCAAGGAGCTGATAGAGGAGGTATCTGAGTCTTTAGCTATCATCTTTGAAAAATCATGAAAGTCAGGAGAGATTCCAGAAGACTGGAAAAGGGCAAATATAGTGCCCATCTATAAAAAGGGAAATAAGAACAACCCAAGAAACTACAGACCAGTCAGTTTAACTTCTGTAACAGGGAAGATAATAGCGTAAGTAATTAAGGACTCCATCTGCAAACATCTGGAAGATACGTCTACACTTGCTCCCTAGTTCGAACTAGGGATGCAAATGTAGGCGACCGAAATTGCTAATGAAGCAGGGATTTAAATATCCCACCCTTCATTAGCATGATCTTGCCGGCGCATTACTCCGCTCAACAGCTGTTTCAAAAGTGAAAGTGCACGCCAGGACGTGTTAGTTCGAACCAAACCCCTTGGTTCGAACTAACATTACTCCTGAGGAGTAACCAAGGGTTTGGTTCGAACTAATGCATCCTGGCGTGAACTTTCACTTTTGAAACAGGTGTTGAGCGGAGTAACGCACCGGTGAGATATTTAAATCCCTGCTTCATTAGCAATTTCGGTCGCCTATTTTTACATCCCTAGTTCGAACTAGGGAGCAAATGTAGACATACCCGAGGATAATAAGATGATGGGAAACAACCAGCATGGATCTGTAAAGAACAAATCATGTCAAACCAGTCTGATAGCTTCCTTTGATAAGACACCAAGCCTTGTGGATCAGAGAGAAGTGGTGGATGTGGTATACCTAGATTTTAGTAAGGCATTTGTCATGGTTTTGCATGACCTTCTTATCAATAAACTAGGGAAATACCACCTAGATGGAGCTACAATAAGGTGGGTGCATAACTAGCTGGATAACCATTCTCAAGAGTAGCTATTCACAGTCATGCTGGAAAGGCATAAAAAGTGGGGTCCACAGGGGTCTGTTTTGAGAGTGGTTATGTTCAATATCTTCATTAATGATTTAGATGATGGCATAAAGTGTATCCTTATTAAGTTTGGAGATGATACCAAGCTGGGAGGGGTTACAAGTGCTTTGAAGGATAAGGTCAAAATTCCAAGTGATCTGAACAAACTAGAGAAATGGTCTGAGAAAAATAGGATGAAGTTTAGTAAGGGCATATTCAAAGTATTCCACTTAGGAAGGAACAATCAGTTTCATGTATATAAAATGGGAAGTGATTATCTAGGAAGGAGTACTCCAGAAATGGATCTAGGGGTTATAGTGGACCTCAGTTGGAGTATTGTGTCCAGTTCTGGGCACTACATTTCAAGAAAGATGTGGAGAAATTTTAGAAGGTCCAGAGAAGAGCAACAAGAATTATTAAAGGTCTAGAGAACATGACCTATGAGGCAAGACTGAAAGAATTGGGCCTTTTAGTTTAGAAAATAAAAGACTGAGGGGGGCCATTATAGCAGTTTTCAAGTATCTAAAAGGGTGTTACAAGGAGGAGGGAAAAAAATTGTTCTCCTTGGCCTCTGATGATAGGACAAGAAGCAATGGGCTTAAACTGCAGCAAGGGAGGTTTAGGTTTGGACATTAGGAAAATCTTCCTAACTGTCAGAGTGGTTAAACACTGGAATGAATTTCTTCGGGAGGCTGTGGAATCTCCATCTCTGGAGATACTTAAGAGCAGGTTAGATAGACATCTATCTGGGATGGTCTAAACCAGTGTTTTTGAAAGTGCTCCACAGAACCACTGGCCCATGCCGCTTCCCATGGCGCTTCTTGGCTGCAAAGAGCAAAACAGAGCCAGTGGGAGCTGCGATGCTCCGTGGCTGCAGCGCCAGTAAATAAACAAACTGGGATGGCCAGTTAATGTGTTTCTCAAAGTGGTTTCCCAGAGCACTTTCAGAAACACTGGTCTAGATGATACTGGGTCCTACCATGAGGGCAGGGGACTGGACTCGATGACCTCTCGAGGTCTCTTCCAGTACTAGTGTTCCATAATTCTAAGACAGTAAAAAATCCCAGATGAGGAGCTCTGGGAAATGCTGAGAATTGGAAATAAGAGTACCAATTAGATAAACAATTACATTTTGACCTCAAGGAGGAAGCAAAATTGGCTGAGTAATGCTCGATCTCTCCCAGGGCTCCCATGCATGGGTCTTTGCAACTTCAAGCTCCTCTTATGGACAGTGTTATCAAATGTCGCCAATGTGGTGCCCTGACATGTCTTTCTCTGCTGAATTTTGATAACCTTGCAGGAGGAATACCAGGTAGTTTGATTTAGGGCTTTAATTCAAAATACCAGGTCCCTGCCGCGTGTAGACGCGGGCAGTTAGTCCGGACTTGTAAATTTCAAAAATGGCGACCGGCCAGGAAAATGCAAATCAAGTGCGGGATATTTAAATCCCGGGCTTGATTTGCAACTTCGAAAGCCTACATTAGCCTCCCTATTTCGAAATAGGGGGCTAGTGTAGAGATACCCAATCTTCTCTTTTCTAAACTAAACAAGCCCAATTCTTTCAGTCTTCCTTCAAAGACCTTTAATCATCCTTGTTGCTCTTCTCTGGACCTTCTCCAATTTCTCCACATCTTTCCTGAAATGTGGTGCCTGGAACTGGACACAATACTCCAACTGAGGCCTAATCAGCACAGAGTAGAGCGGAAGAATGACTTCTCGTGTCTTGCTCACAACACTCCTGTTAATGCATCCCAGAATCATGTTTGCTTTTTTTGCAACAGCATCACACTGTTGACTCAAATTTAGCTGGTGGTCCACTATGACAAATGTATTGCCTTTGTTGCAATATGCTCCTTTTCTTTTTCTTTGCAGAATATACAGATTGTCCCTGATGGTCAGACTTTCCTGTAAAGGACCCAAATCTGTTGCCCTTGCATCCATGTCAATGGGACTGCTTTCCCAGCAAGATTCTACTGTTTTCTCCTTGAAAACTTTTCCACACTGTCATAATCCTGCATTCACATGGATCCCCAATGAAACCAAGCTGTCTCTATGAGGGTGCAGGGGTCCACCTTCATAGAGCAACTTTCAGGATCAGAGCTTAAATTCAACCTAGTCCAGGTGAGAAGTGATGAGTTGCAACTGTTTACAAACACATGAATTGTTTTTTATCATATGCAACCTGTTGTTTAAAAACAGTTTCAGTATTTCCCCAGGACCCGAAGACAAACATTTGAGGATATGTGGTTATTTGTGAGGCCAAGAAAGTTACAGCATTTCCTTTTGATGTTGCATCAGATAGAATTTTCTCATGGCTTATGAGTTTATAAAATAAAGAATGGGGAAAGGCAGTAAATCATTCAGGATCAGACAAGGAAACTTTTTTTTTAAAAGCCCTACAAAACAATAGATATTTAAGGAGAAAGTGTTCCAGCTCCTTCTGACAAAGACCCTCCAGAGGATTACAATGCAGTCAATGTTGCTTTAATTAAATTTAATGCTGTGTGAAATGCACTCCGAGAAACTTTGATGAATGACTGGGGCAATTCACACAGCACACTAAAGGGCATCCAGTCCTTGCAGGGGTGTCAAGCCACGATGAATTGGTTAGTACAGGCATGTTTATAGACTGCCTAAGGAACCTTGTATCTGTGTGGTAATGTCAGAGATAATGTTATGATTCGCTGGACCTTGGGGGGCTTTGATGACACGGTTAATGAGATGTCCCAAGGAGTGTCCCAGCAGGTTACTCTCAGACCTCCCACATCAAACGAAGCAGCTTTGCTTCTTCAGAGCCTGCCGTCCTCCAAATCCCTCAGCTGAGCTTTTCTTTCCATAGGCTACTTTTTTTTTGTGTCCTTAGTCAACATTAACTTTGTCTGGCAGCTGCAATGCAAAAAGTTGTTAGTTTTTAATTTGGTTTCTCTTTGACCTGCCTATACAATGGCTTTCTAGAATTTTACAGAAAGGGGGGAGGGGAGGAGGATAAAGCAAAGGAGGAAAATAAGGAAACAAAAACTTTTTAAAAAGCTGAGGAATGTTTCCTTCACACTGACTTTGGTTGCAAAGCAATGAGCTGTGATAGTGGGACTGGATCTTTTATCTGCTTCATGCAAAGAAGTGAAGAAGAAGAAAAACCTGATGGATTAATTGATAAATACAATTGTTGTTGTTGTTGAAGTTTGTTCTAAAGGGTTGATTATAGGGCCATACTAAAGGTTGAACTTCTCTTTGTAGGAGAAAAAACTCACTATAGGTTTGGTTAAAAGTGAGGTTAAATGGCAAGTAAACATTCTTACAATAATACATCTATCTGTAAAATTCCCAGGGCAGGAAATGGACTTGAGGAATTACATCATTAAAGGGGGATGGACATCAAAGTGAACACAAGACCATCTCAAATGACCCCTCTCAAATATAAAAACTGTATTTTTTTGGTATCTTTGAAGTTTTGCAAAAACATTTTGGGCTGATAATGGTTCACAGATTTGACAGATCTATGAATGGCATCAGCCATAAGAAACACTCTCATTTGGACAGTATAACAACCAATTAAGGCAAGAAGTCCTATACTCGTCTAGACAGAGATACAATATTTAAGAAAAATTAAGATGAACACCTTTGTATCTACAATATTGCAACTGTGCCCAGGAACATTTTGACACAGACCACAGAAGGGTGCAGTGATCTGTATTCTGATGTGCAATGGTTTATGGGCTTTATATATTTCTTTTGATTGATTATTTTATCATTGTTGCGTAGCAATATGAATATCTACTTCACAGACAATAGCCAAGACACTAAGGCTGTGTCTACACTGGGCCACTTATTCTGGAAAATCAGCTGCTTTTCCGGAATAAGCTGCGAGCTGTCTATACTGGCCCTTGAATTTCCGGAAAAGCAATGACGCTCTACTGTACAAAATCAGCCACTATTCCGGAAAAACTATTCTGCTCCCGCTCAGGCATAAGTCCTTATTCCGGAACACTGTTCCGGAAAAGGGCCAGTGTAGACAGCCCAGTAGTCTTTTCCAGAAAAAAGCCCCGATCGCGAAAATGGCGATCGGGGCTCTTTTCCGGAAAAGCGCGTCTACATTGGCCACAGATGCTTTTCCGGAAAAAGGGCTTTTCCGGAAATGCAGCCTTGCCAATGTAGACGCTCCCTTTCCGGAAAAACTGAAAACGGAATAGTATTCCGTTTTAAGCAGTTCCGGAAATTCATGCCAGTGTAGACACAGCCTAATATAAAAGTGGGCCTGATTCTTGTTTAGAGAAAGGTCACATGGTGTTGCTAAGACAGTGGAAAGGGGCCTTCGAGTGGGCATAATTTATATTTATAATCTCTTAAAGGCCTTTACATTGCTAGAGCACTGTAAAGTATCTTTGGTGGAATGCAAATTAGGGCCAGAATCTGAGGGTCTGATCCTCAGACAGATCTGATCCAAAGCCCACTGAAATCAGTGGAAATTTTCCCACTGACTCTAATGAGTTATAGATCAAGTTCCTGGTGTAAACCAACATAGCCCTATTGAAAGTAATGTAAATAGGCTGATTTATTTCAGTAAAGTGTATTAAGGTGGCATGCAGTTGTAGATATGTCAGTCACATGATATTAGAGAGACAAGGTGGATGAGGATCTTTTATTGGATCAGACTTCCAATAAAATACAGTATCTCTCCCCCCCTTGTCTCTGTATTAAGTCAGTACAGCTTTCCATGGATCTTTATTTCAATTTTTCACTGAAATTGAGTTTTGAAAAATCATGAAATATAAAGCTTGACATTTATATTTCAATATGGTTTCAGCCTCATTGCCCATTCAACATATGGATGTGAATGTTGTGGTATCTACATGGAACACACCTAGGAGTGTGTCAGAGAGGTGTGGGGAGTCACTCGGCCCTGCACCCCAAACCGCAGCCAGATGTGACTCTCAGCCAGCAAGTAGGAACAGAAGGTTTATTGGTTCACAGGGACACTGCATAGAACAGACTTCTTGTTAGCACAAGAACCAGGAGCAGTCAGTCAATTCAACTTGGGGACATGGGGCCCTGGGCCCTGTTCACCCCATCCTGCTCCAAGCCCCCTGAAAAAACCCACACTCTCAGCAATCTGTCCCCGTCTCTGGCAGCCCCGCCTTCCTCTTTGACTAGCACAAGGTTTCTCCTGGTCACATCCCTTCCCATGCTCAAGTTACAGGGATCATTGTCTACTTGATGGGCTGCATTATCTCTCAGTGAGTCACCTGCAATTCCCATCCCCATCTAGATAGTAAAGCAGTACCCAGGGAAACAGAGAAACTGAGGCACACATGGGACTACTACAGGAAAGTGGAAATCACGTACAAGAAAGCAAACAGAGTGAACACTTCGTCACAGAGTGATACATAAACAAGAGATTTAGAAACAGCAACAAAACAGGAAACAGAAAATACCAAGGGACAAACTGATTTGGATTATATGCTCATGAAAGAGAGCGAGGGGGAGTCAGACTATACCATTCCTTTTATATCTCTGCATATGTTACCTGGAACTTTGTCTGGGCTTTCAGAAGTAAGAGGTGTGACAGGGTCAGGCCAGAGGGATTCAAGAGAGTAATGGAAGGGAGATACATTAGCCTTAGATTGAGTAAATCTCTGTTCCCAGGGCAAACTGTCAAGGGCTAGTCCAGAACCAGTGAGAACTTGCCAGAATCAATCAGGGCAGATAAGCACCTGGAGCTAATTAAGTGGGCTTACAAAGCCAAATGAGCCAAGGCTGGTTAGAACACCATGAGCCAATTAAAGAACCCATTGAGACTGGTTATAAAAAGAGCTGCTCTACAGTTTGTGCCCAAGGAGTTGAGAGGCTCAAGCAATAATGAATAGTAGGAGGAAGTGCCTGAGAGAAGGCAGGTGCTGGGGAAGGTGTGAGAAAGTAGCCCAGGGGTTTTGTAGCTGTCTCTCAACTGATGTTAAAGATTTTTATAGGGAGCTGCTATTACAGGGTCCTGGGCTGGAACCCAGAGTAGAGAGTTAGCCTGGGTCCTCCTGATCTCCACTTGGGGAAAAGACTGAAGACTACCCAGTGCTGTATCATTTGGGGGTCCACCAAAACTGTGGAGTTTGCTTTCCCTTTATAGCTTATACTGGCCAGGGATAAGAGTAGCTCAACAAACAGCCAGCTGATGCCCTAGGTGTGGTGCTTAAAATGAGGGCTGCTGTGAGCTTCTCAGGCAGAAATCCTGCTGGAAGCTCAGGATCCCCCAAGTTTGAGTAGGAACTTGGTCACAGAGGGCACAGCATACCTTCTTACTCCCTTGAGCAACTGGATTGGGAAAGAGCAAGGAAGTCTAAGTAGGAAGTGGGTAATAGGGTGATACCTTGAATCCAGACCCCTATTTATTGTGCTGCAAAGCTGAGCCTGTGTAGGGATGGTAGGGTATTCCTGCTCCACAAGAGCAATAGGGAAAACCATGTGATTCAGGTGTCTTCAAATCATTAGGGCTCCTGAGGAGTATTCCCTGGGGTAGTGCATCTTGCATATCTCAATCTCTAAGTCACTCGCTGTCTGTGCAACAACTGCAGTGCAGCTATGCAAATCCTACCACAGGAACCTTGTTCTTTGCACTACAGCTTGTTATATAATGTCACACATGTAGATTTTGATGTTAATTTTCTAGGAGAGGGGGTTGTGTGACTTGCTTTACTGGTTCAGTTTTTTGTTAATTTTGCTCTTAATTTTTACAAAAATAAACAAGAAAAGGAATGCTTGTGTGAGCAACAGGGAATGGATATGTTTGGAAAGCATTGATGTCCTGTCGGTAGAAGTGCACTCAGCTTTAGCTGTACAATTAATACAAATGCTCCTCAAGGATTGCATAATTAATTGACAATTGACACTCTGTTTAAACCAGCTGCACCAGTACTTCCTTCAATTCAGCAAAGGGCCTGAACAGGCAACTCCAGCCAGCTAGAATGGGGAGGGGGAGCAAATAAAGTGTTGTGTAACCTCTCCCTACCAGGAGGAGAATGGACTAGTTGGTTCCTACTATCCATTATTTTTGTATCTCTGTAGTCGAAACCAACTATCCAAGCAGAATCATTTAAAGTTAAATGGCATTTATTTAATATGTTACTGCTGGC